AAAAACTGGGGCGTGGAACTAAACCAAGTCCTAAAAGAAGAAACACAAACGACTGAGAAAGGGAAATGCAACTTAAAGCTGCTGTGAGATTTCATTTTATTGTAGTCAGAGTGCCTAAGAGCCAAAAAAACCAAATGACAACAAATCCTGGCTTGGGTGTGGGGAAAGACGAACACTGATTCATCGCTGGTGGGATTGCAAACTGGTGCAGCCACTATGGAAATCAGTGTGGAGGCTCCTTAAAACCTAAAAATAGATCTACCGCATGATCCAGCTCTACTGCTCCCGGGCATGTTTCCAAAACTGTATTCTGCTACAGAGATGCTCATCAAACATCATTGCTGCTCTATTCACAATAGCCAGAAAATGGAAACAGCCTATATGTCCGTCAGTGAATGAATGAATAATGAAACCGGTTCATACACACAATGGATATTTTTCAACTGTAAAGAATGAAATTCAAGGTAAATGGATGAAGTGGAAATAATCGTTCAACTTCATCCACACACATAGTAATGATAATAAATGTTCAAAAATTGAAAAATGTTGAATAAAATGGACAGTCACAAAACTCTGAATCTAAAGAAATTTAAAAAAGAAAGCCATGTAATCATTGTATAAAAAAACAGACAAGTGTACAACTATACCCTCTCTCTCCACATATATAGATACAAGTGCTGTAACCTGAATTAGAAAATATTTGTCAAAATTTTCTCTCATTTAGATCCCATCAGTTTCCCGAGGCCTGGAATTTTCCTTGCATTGGTTTGCTCACGTGAAGAAGAAAACTGGTAGGCTTGTGGGGGGGGTGGTCCGGCATTGAGCCTCTGTACCCTTTGCCTATTGACTAAGAACTGAGTTCTACAACTCTGTGCTGCCTTGTAGATTGACCCTTCTTGAGTCTGTCTGTACTTTACCTTTTGAAGTTTGGGGCACCCTGCTGACTCCCTCTCATTCCAGTCCCCACCCTTCACCATGTAATGTGGTTTAGCATGTTGTACCTGCCCCTGAAGCAGGGAATGGAGTTCTTGACAGGTGTCAGGCCAGCACTGTGGCCCTTACCTTTCTTTTAGTCATACCTGACTGTTGAAGGGGTCATGCACAGACTGAACCCTACCTTCCCACTCTGCTACCCCATGTACCCTGGGCCATCACTACCTATGCCTAGGTCAAGCTTAACTTTTTCACTGGCATTGTTTGACCATTGTATCTTCTGTAAACTGCTGCTCGGGCATTAAAGTCTTCCAGAAACTCAGCACAGCATTTGGCTGTCTGTTAATTTTCTCCCTAAGAACTTGGCTTGACACAGATCTTGCCACATTTGCCTTTGAGTGTCCCACACAGACCCTTTTGTCTTATTTGCCTTTCTCTCAATTTATTACTTTATGAACCCAATTTACTCTTGGTCTGTCATTCAGATTTTCCAGAGCTTCTCCTACTTATAAATATCATGTCCCATTATTAGCAAAGTCACTAAAACCCTATACCAATCCCAAGGTCCCTGCTAAATAAATTTTTAACTCTCCAGTGAATACAGTCCCATCTGATCCAGTAAACTAGGTGTTAAATACCACCTCTCTCATGCTCAGTTCCCTTAGTAATGTCGTTCTGTTGTCCTCTATTCCTTGATATTTATCAAGTGTCTCTAATGGCTCAGACAAGCCAGTCCATCAGAGGTTGATTTCCCTCATATTGCCACAGGAGCATGATTCTGCTCAAAGTTTTCCCCTTATACTGGAGATATTCTGAAGGCCAGGTCTCAGAGTACACTTGCCCTAAGTTCCTAGAGTGGCTGTACACAGACGGACCTTTACCTCAGACCTACTTAGCCACTTACATGGCAGGCATCTTTTTTTTTTTTTTTTTTTTTTGAGAGATGATCTTGCCAAGTAGCCCAGGTTGGCCCCAAACTCTCCATCCTCCTGCCTCCACCTCCTGAGTGCTAAGATTACAGGAGTGTGCTATCACACCCAGTTTTCATAATACTATTTCTGTGCATGCATGGAGGAGGAGAAGGAGAAAGGACTGAGATGGGACTGTGAATGGTGCCATTCCCTGGGCATGGGATCCTTGATGCATAAATAGAGAAAGTGAGCTGAGGATGCACCACTGCTCTGCTTGTTGGCTGTGGATGCAGTGTGGCCCATGCTTCAAGCTCCCGCTGCTTTGATTTCTCCACTGTGACAACACCTCGAACTGTGAGATAAACAAACCCTTTCTCCCTTAAGCTGCTCTTGTCCAAGTATTTTATTGCAGCAACAAAGAAACTAAATCACTGTGTGTTTGTTCAAACTCCTTTATTAGACATATGCTTTGTAAATACTTTCTCCATCTTTGGTTTGTCATTTCATTTTTGTAGGAGTCTTTTGCAGAGCAAATTATTTTCTCTGTAATTCACAAATTTTGACAAGTGTTAGTTTTCATTTTTGTTTCATTTAAAAACTTTGAAAAAATCTTTTGAGGCCTTTTCATTGACCTAGAGGTTATTTATAAGTAAGTTGAGCGTATTGCCTGCATGTATGTGAGTGCACCTGTGTCGTGCAGTGCCACAGAGGTTAGAAGAGGGCTTCGGATTCCTCTGGAACTTGAGTTAAGGATAGTTCATAGCTGCCATGTGGGTGCTGGGAATTGAACTGGGTCCTCTGCAAGAGCAATCAGTGCTCTTAACCACTGAGCAATCTCTCCACCTCTTCTTAGTGTTTTTTATCTAAGTTCATGTGTTCTGAGAACATATTTTATATGATTTTTTTTAAGTTTATTATGCTTCCAGGCATGGTGGCATACACCTTTTTTAAAAAATAAATTTATTATTTTTATTTTATGTGTACAAGTGCACCCATGTTGTGCAATACTGTGGAGGTCTGTCTGAAGAGGGTGTCAGAATCCCCTGGAAGGTTAGTAGCCACCATGTGGGTTCTGGGAGTCGAACCCGGGTCCTCTGCAAGAGCAGTCAGTGCTCTTAACCGCTGAGCCGTCTCTCCAGCCTCAACGATGGATATTGTTATAAGTGTGTTGGTACATGTTTTATGACTCAGACAATGTGCTGTGAGTGTTCCATATAATGAATAGATGGTAGAATGTGTCTTATTGTTTTGAATGGATTCATTCTGAAGGTAGCAGCTCAAGTAGATAGACATTCTGTTCAGGTTATCCATATAGTTCCTCACTTTTCTGCCTCCTTCATCTATCAGTACTGACAGAGGGGTGTTAAAGTCTTCAAGTATGATGTAAGTTGTTGGCAATTTCTTCCTGCAGTTCTGTCACTTTTGCTTTATATGATCGGACAGTCTTTGATTAGATACTATTTCAGATCATGTCTTCTTTCTCTAATATGATGTTAACTAACTATATCTAATGAGCTCCTAGTTTTAGATGTTACATTTTTCTTCTCTAGTATGCCGATTGTATGTGCCCATGTTCAGTGAATCCCAGGCTGACTCAGCATATGGCCACACTCAAGGCTACTATATTTATTTATTTATTTTTGTTTGTTTTTGAGACAGGGTCTCACTGTATCCATGGTTGGCCTATAACTCACTATATAGACCATGATGGTCTGCAACTCACAGAGATCCGCCTGCCTCTGCCTCCCAAGTGCTGGGACTAAAGGTGTACACTACCACACCTGCACAGCTACTGTTCATTACAGTGAAAGAATCCACATCAAAATCAGGCAAAGTTTAAATTTTATCCCAGTGGTGTCTCACAAACCACACTTAATTCCACCAGCAATTACATGTGGTATGTGAAATGTGTACCAGGGATCTCATTAGACACTTGGTGCCCAGAGTTGTTATTAGATCACATAGCTCATTTTAGATTCTGAAGAGTCTTCAGTCCTGGAAGGAATGCTCATGTTCAGTGTAAGCTATGTTGTTTACACAAACAGTTCAGGTTCAGTGAACCATTGTTGATGGGGAATGATAAGGCCAAGGTCAGCCTGAAATCCAGATTCTCAGCTACCAGCAGAGAGACCCTTGGGGAAGACCTTTCAAAGGACAGCAGCTTCGCTGTGCTCTTAGCCCTTTCTCTGTGCATCACTCACATGAATGCGTGCTGTCTGTTGAAATTCCCCACATTATTGCATTGCTTGTTAACTTTCCTCCATTTTATTGAACATATTAGCTATAATTCATTTTGAAGTTCTGATTCATTTCACTATATGAGTCACCCAATGGTCTGTTTATATTGCCCATTTTTCTATCTTGTTCACTATTGGTTCACATACTGTGAAACTTTACTACATTTAAGAAAAGTACTGGGCTTGGACTGGAGAGATGGCTCAGAGGTTAAGAGCACTGGATGCTCTTGCAGAAGAAATGGGTTTGAATCCCAGCACCCACATGGCAGCTAACAACTGTCTGTAACTCCAGTTCCAGGGGATCCAATGTGCTCTATAGTCCTCTGTGGGCATTGCACAACATGGATGTACTTACATATATGCAGACATAACACTCATACACATAAAAAGAAAGAAAAATACTGTGCTTAAGAAAAAAATCCATGTACCTCCAGAAGACAATCTTCTCAAGCAGAGAAGGTTTGTCCTGTTCTCTGGTGGGTAGTTGGGCCACAGGCAGCCACTTTAGTCAGTGTTGGGCTTTCCTGGTAGAAGCCTGTCCCTTGTTCATACCAATGCCATTGTTTATAGAACTATTTCAAGTCTTACTTCTGATAAGAGTTAAGTATACTGCCTGGTCTTGCAGTGTTCATTTAATAAATGCTTATATGTGTGTCCTTACCAGGTCATAAGTACTTTGAGAACAGGAAGTGTGTTCTTTGTTTGTCTTGGTAGTATTCGTAGCAACTAAGACACTTCCAGACCTTTAGTGGAATCTCAATTTATATCAGTTTATTTATTCTACATAGTGTAGCACAAAAGGGGGGGTGGGTATCCTGCTCATTATTTTTCAGCAAACTCTCAGAAAACTAGTTCTGCTAACCATTTTCTGTGTTGGCCAGTTCTAACTTTATACAAAAGAAAGAATGTTTTGTTGCAGGAACCAGTGTCATTCACAGATGTGTGTGTGGATTTCACCAAGGAGGAGTGGTGTTTGCTGGACCCTGCTCAAAAGATCCTATATAGAGATGTCATCCTGGAAAATTATAGCAACTTTGTCTCAGTAGGTAAGGATTGTTTCATTTGTTTTTTCCAGTGTGGTACCTCTGTGTTCTTGCACTTTGTAGAGCAGTAACAAGCTGTTCCTTTCTTTCCTGTCGTCTTTTCTCTCACAAAGCCGTGTTATTTGTGCTAACAGGGTATTGTGTTGCTAAACCTGATGTGATCTTCAAGATAGAGCAAGGAGAAGAGCCCTGGATTGCAGAAAAGGAATTCCCAAACAGATGTCGCTCAGGTACATTAGTGTGTTTACAGGCTGGTGAGATCTTGTTTCCTTGGTTTAGGGTAGGTCACTTTTGCAATATTTTTTTCAGAAATTTATGTTTATTCCAAGACCCTTGAAAATGACCAAAACCAACTTCCCACATCTTGTTTCTTTAATGTCTGTCAGTCATAAACACTTGTGCTTATGTTGTGCCAGATAGCATGGAATGCTAAGTGAACAGCAGAACCATGGAGATACATATTTCCATATGTATATACTGAGTATATACTGAGTGTGCACATATTCTTGTATTCACACATACACACTAGGTTGGTACTGGTGTGATGAAGAGAGCTCACACGGGAAGGGAGGCTAGAGCATGCTGACATCTGCTATTTGGCAATGACATCAGAAAAAACTTTGAGATGAAGTCGTGTTATATATGAGACTTCAATAGAATAAGAATGAGCTGTGTAGACTGAATATATTCTAGGCAGAGAGAACATGAGGTGCCGGGCCTCTAGGACAGGTATGTTATGTTTGAACAATGACAGGGAGACCAGAGGGGCTGGAAGTTAGAGGGCATGCTGTTATTAGCATGCACGAGGACAGTAGAATGATGTGAGCAGTAGCCCCCTGGGTCATGGAAGACAGTACTTTCGTCTTGAGAGATGTGAGAAATCCTGTTTGTTTTGAATAAATGTAGGTTGGACTGAATCATCAGATCTTGTTTGCAGCTTAGAAGGCTCTCTGTGGCTTGTGCAGTAATTTCTGTGGCCTGTGGTGGGTATGAGCAAGGAAGAGGCACTGTTAGGAGGTTAGGAGACTACTGTCTACCTCAGAAGGAAGGGTGTGGCGAAGGCCATTCCAGAGGTGCTGGGGATGCAAACATCTCGAAGACAGAGCCACAAGGATTTGTTGCTGCATAAAGAATTCAAGAGAAAGGGGAGTCAGATGTGACCGTAAGCTCAAGCAGCTAGCTACATTAGGAAGCCATCTACCGAGACAGAGAAAAACAACGAGGAAAGGAGTTATTACAGATTTAATTTGGGGCAGGAGAAATTGGGGGTAGCTGTTCAGATCCAGCCTGTGAATTGACCGCAAGGTTGGAGTTACCTACAAATGGAATGCCTAGTTGGAGCTGGAGCTAGGTGTATGTGTTGGAAAGACATTAGCTTTATATTGTGTGTGAGGGCGATGAAATCTGGAGCAGAGTTGTTGATTTCTTTGTAAAAGACCAGGTAGCGGGTGTTTCAGGTGAAGTGGCAGCTTGGAGGCCTGGCTGCCGCCACCGCTGCTCTTCTGCCTCCTTTTATTTGCGCCTCCTCCTTGTTGACTCCCCCCCCCCTCCCTGTGGCCTCTTCTACCACTTGCCTTGGAAAACATAAAAGGTACTTCATCTTCAGGGATATTGCCTTCTGGTGGTAGTTCACCAGCCTCTTTTCTAGGACATAGTTTTATGTAGGCTAGAGTTGTTATCGGATGATACCGTTTCACAGAGGCATTAATTCCATCCATTAGTAGATACAGAAGGAGCAACGTGAGCTACACAACCCAGAGCCTATTCCCCAGGAACTGATTGTAGTTCCATTTTCCCATCCTACTACTCTGAGTGGCAACTACAGGTTCCCTCCCCTAAATCTGCCGGCTCGTACTGGTCTCCTCGTACCCTTGTATAAACCACCTGTATCTGTCCATGTGGTTACTTTTCACTGATCACATTCAAATCAGGCCGTGCCTGTGTTCTCTTTATTCTTGACATGGTGTAATTCCTAACTTTTCTGTTTTATTTTTTTATATGAAGCATCCAGTTTTTCTTTCAGTAACCTATAGAAAAAGATGAAATGAAAGCTTTCTGCCATTGACAATTACATGATTCTACTTCACTTTTTATTTCTTTTTGCTTTCCAGAACAAATACTATACCTCATACTTTCTTATACTTTAAATATGTTCATATTCTCTCACTTGTTTAAAATTTTCATTTTTATCTTTTTTCAAATAATTCATACTTCATATATAAAGGTTTCAGACACTGAATATTTATTATTTCATTTATTTAAAGTTAAAGCAAATTTTTGTTATTTCTAGCACATATTTTATATCTGTGACCCACCAGTGACTAAAGGCCCAGAACTCAGTCCTGAACATGTGGTTGTTGCTTAGAGCTTCTTTCCCTGCTGAGATTTTATTCTTCCAAAAAGAAGGGCCCCTTAGCTTTCCTTTCCTGATCCCCAGGTACTGTTGGCTACCTATGGAGCCAGGTTTCAGAGCAGTCATCCATTGATACATTCAGAACTGTAGTATGTTTCCTAAATGCACATTCCCATAGTCTCTTCTGTGTATCCAACTCATCAGGGAAAAGTTGAAAATATTGCAAGTACATATTGCTTTTGGGAAATGTTACTGTTTCCTCAAATGATACAGAGGAAAGAAGACTAGTAATAACTGCCAAGAGCCAGACTCTGGTTCCAGAAAGAGG